ACATGAGAGGCTTCTAACTTTTGTTTTATCCTCACAACAACCAAGTGAAGTAGGTGCTATGATTAACCCATTTTACAAATTGGAAACCAAGGTAAGGGAGGCTAATTAACTTGTGCAAAGCTTACATAGTTTTTAGTGTTTTCAGGATTTGAACCCAGGCAGTCTGACCTCTCAGATTTCAAGCTCTCAATTGTTAAACTCTAATGCTCCTGACTAAAATTAAGTCATGACAGAATCAGACTTTACTTAGAAATTATTCATGATGTCCCTGCTATACAGAATAGGGTTGTATACTGAGAATTAGGCATTGCTAATCATGTTCCAGCCACTTACAGTGTTAAAGGCTTTAATGACTTAATTCTACAGTGTGAAAGGATAGCCACAACAGCAGTGTAATCCTGTCATTTCTTTGGGGTCTAGTGCTGTATTTCATCATCTACTTCCATAACTGAAGGAATAAGCAATTTAGAACATTGCCCCCATCTATAGGTATGAAAATTTCATGCTGCTGGGGCAGGAAAATACCTAACAGGTAACTTTTATGTAAGAAATAAGCTAAGTCTCATGGTTTTAAAAATTTGTTACTAAAGTTACTGTATTTCAAGAAATTTAAGATGAAGTTATTTATCAGCGGAGGTTCTCCAGTTGTATCAGAAAAATTTTAGGAGCTTGTTAGTGCACAACTTCTTCAGGTCCACTCGTACACCTGTCTAGATGCAGCTGGTTTGATCTGGGTAGGGTTTATGAGGGCTGGCACTTTCATCATTGACCAATAACCAAAAACTTTTATCTTTAATTGTAAAGATGAGCAGATAAGTGGAATTCAGAAGTGGAAGCTGGCAGTGAGCTGAGGCCATTATACACAGGTGCTAGCTGTGAGACAAGATAATTCCTTCTTTGCCTTGGTTTTTGTTATTCCTGAAGCCTATTCATTCCAGAATACTTATGATACTACTCAGTCTGTATCTGCTCTTTACTTTTATTTGCACTCATCTAAGTAGGTTTGTTCCTTGAAATCTAATGAGTCTTATTGTATATGTCATTGGTATTGTGATTGATTACCTTTGGAGGTCTAGAGTTATTTATTTTCTTACTGCCAAATATGGTACCCATTACCCACATATTGCCATTTAAATGTAAATAACTCGTTTTTAATTTAAAATTTAACTCATTTCTTGGGTCATGTTTCCTTAGGGAGCTTTCACCATGTGTCTTGGTCTACTAAAAATTGTCACTGTCTCTTTTAAAAGTGGATGTATAGCTTGGTGACCCAGCATGGGCCTGGGATCAAACTAAGTTTGAACCCCAGCTCCTCTACTCACCAGTTGAGTGACATTGGACAAGTTATTTGCTCTGTGCTTCAGTGTCCCCAAATATAAAATGTTGGGAGTAGTCCCTCCTTCATAGGGTTGTTATGAGAATAATATGAATTGATAAAAATAAAATGTTTACAAATCACCTGTCATGTGGTAGGGGGCTCAGAAACATCTTACCATGATGATAGATGATACCTTTGCCACCATCCTGCCTCTGATACTGAATCAATTTGCTGGGCCTACAGAAATGATCCCCAAATTCATATTGTCAGGTGTGACCTGGCTACAGGAGATTCTGATTTATTAGGTCTAGATGGAGACCAGTAATTTGTATTTTCCAGCTACTTCCACTCTCCCGCAACATCCCTAACCTCCTATGATTCTGATGCCTAGCCTGTTTTGGAAGCCACTAGCCCAGAGGTTTCTCAGGGAACAAAGTTGAATCTTAGCCCAAGAGGTAGTACAAGGATGACCCTTGAAGACATTATGCTAAGTGAAAGAAGCCAGTCACAAAAGACCACATACTGTGATTCCATTTATATGAAATGTACAGAATAGACAAATAGAGGCAGAAAGTAGATTAGTGATTGCCTAGAGCTGGGAGGGTGAGAGAATGGTGAACAACTGCTAATTAACTTGTGCAAAGGATATGTTGTTTCTTTTGGGGATGAGGAAAATGTCCTAAACTTAGATCATGATGATGGTTGCACAACTGTGAATATACTAAAAATCATTGAATTCTGCACCTTAAATTAGTGAATTGTATGTTATGTGGATTATATCTCTCAGTAAAGATGTTTTTAAAAATAGGCAATAAGTGGAGAAGATAAAAATAATTTTTTAAAATGGGAGGGGGTAGTTGGGAAAACCAGGAGAAAGGGTGCAGACTGGAAGCTTAGAAAAAGGCCTATTGTTTTGTTTGTTTTAATCCTTTTTCTTTCATTTTGTTCACACACACAAATACATAATAATCTAGTAATCTGAAAGTTGGACTTCTGGGAGCTTTAACTCCTGGAAAACTGCCCTGTAAAGGAAATAGGTTTAAAGACAAGAAGAAAGCCTTGAGTTCAGCAAACACCTGTACTAAAGCCATGGATAGGAATCATTCAAAGATAATGGTGCTGGAGAAAAGCCTCAAAATAAATCCACGAAAACAGAAACCAAAAATTCATAACAAAAAGCTCAAAAGGAATTTTTGTGTGTGTAAAAAATGAAGCTGAACTTTATATTTGACAAATTTTGGGTTATAGTTCCAACTGAGCTAATTCTTAGAATAAACAACCACTTGGTATTTTCCCTTTGGCATAGGCATAGCATACATTTATAGATAAAAGTAAAGATTTAGATTGTAGAAGAGTACAGTAATATATCCTTTACTCAATGTTTGACTTTCACAACAAATAATAAGTCAGATTTGTGAAAATAGTTAAGGGCTGGGGCCGGCCTAGTGGTGCGTTGGTTAAGAGCTGGCTTGGGATGCCAGCTCTGAGAAGCAGGGCCGCTGGTTTGGATCCCACATGGGCCAGTGCCGCTGCACCCTCTGTAGCTAAGATGGTGAACAACAGCTCGACCTGGAGCTGGGGTGCTGTGAGTCGCCGGCGACGGCATAGGCTGCAGCCCCTGCTTCAGTGGGCTGCCATTAAGTTACCATGAGTGGCTGGCAACTGGTGTGAGTGTCTGGTAGCCAGTGTGAGCTGCTAGGAGCCGCCGGTAGTGGCTGTCCAGTGGCCGGCGAACGACTACCTCACCCGGGAAGAGC